AAATATTGAAAGGGCTGAGGCGCGGGAAATTCGCTCTCTTTAAGGAGATTCAAGCCCTCTGAGGTTAGACAAAGCCTCACACCGGTGCAGCAAAAAAAACCTTGACTTGTCCCCCCAGGATACAACAGCCCGACTAAGTCGTATGATTCACCAATACTGCTGTAACGCCCTCAAAATAATACATAAAACCCAACACTTTAGACATGCATTGATGTAAAAGAAACCAACCATTTCTATTCATCAGAGTAATTCTTACAACTGTATTACATGTTAACAACAAAAGCAAATGCCCTATGGGCTTACAGCTTTCCAAGTCAACACCTGGTTACACAAAAGAAGAGTACTAACTCTATACAAAATAAGCCCTTGGCTTGATATACATGTAATACAAACAAAATAAAAAAAATAAAAAGTCTTCAACTCTCATCATCATCCAAGCTATGTCCTTGGAGGTGGCATACTACCTGTACCTGAAAATAATGTCCCATAAAGGGTGAGCCAACGCCCAGTAGAGATATGCTAAACACAGTATGAGCAATGACTAAGACATTAGCAATTGATAAATGTTCAATTTCCATAAACCAATTCATAACCCATTTCCATTTCATGACCACTATGTTCATGTTTCATTTCAATTTCCATTTCTTATCAATTTCACAATTTACATCAACGGCTCAGAACCTGGCCAACCACTTATATGAGACAGTGACTCATATTAAACATTTCCTATTTTTACGATAGATAGACATACTAGTTGTATCAACATCCCAATAGATAAGCATACAAGCTGTATCCACATTTCAACAGATATGCATATTAGCTATATCAACACTTCCAAAGATAAGCATATGAGCTGTATCAACACTTCCAAAGATAAGCATATGAGCTATATCAACACATTATCTGACAAGCATATGAGTGTATCATTGGAGTCCATCCCCTATCTCCTCCCAGACAACATCCGGTTTAGAGGTCCATCCCCTATCTTCCCCTAAACCGTGGAGTACATCCCCTATCTCCTCCCCCACACACAAAGGTCATATACACAATCAATCAATACATAACGTTAATGTATCCTATCAACCGTCATACTCTTTGACATATCCAATTGATTAGTTTTAGTTTGCCTAATCATCATGCATTGTCTACAACAATCAAAACTACCCTCCACCGGTAGCCCAAGCAATTATTTCTAAACAGATAATAAAATCTCCAACAGATAAAATATCAATGTTTTCAAAAGTGAGCGATTAATAAGTCTAACTTCACTATTCAACCATATAATGAACCAATTTCATTATTTCCAACTCAATTCCATAAAGTCACAATTTTCCCAAAATTAGGGTTTTCCACTCGATTCCCAAATATTGACCCAATGGTCCAAATATCAACAATCAATAACGATATCATTATTTTGAACCCACAATACACATTTTAGACTCAAATAACAAATCCTCTTTTAACATTTTGAAACCCTAAGTCCCAAAATTTTCCAATTTCAACACTTTATCAAAACAACCAAAAATCTAGGTCAAAGACCATAAGAGTGAGTAGGAATTCCTACATCAAATTCGGAGCTCAAGGAAAGAAGGTGAAGAAACTCAATGTGCTCCAAAACTCAATATTTTCGGATCAATGTGTAGCCCTCGACGATCAACCCAACTTTTACAAAGGCCGAAGGAAAAGGAAACACTCTAACTAGATCAAACCCTAGAGAGAAGGGAATTTCTAGAGAGAGAGGCTCTCAAAATATCTTTTTAGAAAAGTAAGAGAGAAAGTGGGAGTGTAGAAAATGATTCAAAAATGCCCAGCTATCCTCTGTTATACGACATTGACATTCCCGCTCGAGCGGAGAACACAACGCTCGAGCGTCAAGAACAAAAACTAGGTCCGCTCGAACGTAAGAAGACCCGCTCGAGCGCCAAGACACAAGAATAAAGTACATCTGCTCGAGCGCGAAAACCAGTCCGCTCGAGCGTAGATTTTCCCCTCCCAACTTACACAAAAAAGTACTACCCGTTCGAGCGCCAGAGTACCCGCTCGAGCGCAAAGAAACCCGCTCGATCGTGAAAAACATGCCTACAGAAGTTCTGTAGAGCACCAAAATACTAGGTGCGTGCAATCTCCGCTCGAGCGCAATAAGACCCGCTCGAGTGGACCTTCTAAAAACTGGGCAACAAAGAATTGAAACCAAAGTCCAACCAATCTATAACAACTCTGCCCAATACATCTTAAAACTCAATCAAGCGGAATTAAAGGATGCCAACAAGGTATACCACCACCAACATCACGGAACCGAGTCCGGAATACAACAGAACAGTAAAGGGACAACCAATCACCCTTTTTAACTGTTCTCTTACAGAGTTGATCAAGCATCTTATTTATATCTATATATACATATACATGTAATAATACACCAATTAACATGAATTCTTCTTTTTCTTCTTCTTCTTCTTTGTGGATGATCAGCTTTTGAACCTCAGCAACGCGAGAAAAGATCCAGAAGACTATTGGAAGAAGGTAATGAAAGGCGAGCCGATGCCCAAAGCAATTGAAGAACTTGTTCATGGAAATTCAGTGGCATCCGAGAAGAAGTGGGAAGCATCTTCTCACGAGGCTATAAACGTGGCCCACTTCAAGAAGGATTTCGACACGAGGCCTATCGCGATAATTTATCACAGACATGATGAGACTAAAAAAGCGAAGCCTCTTGTGAAGGACTTGAATTTAGGACATGGAATTGAGTCTCAAGGGCATAAATCAGTTGTTAAGCCATGAAAGAGAGCTTAGAACAGTATATGCATATATATATATATATGTCTGTGTGTGCGCGCGCGCGCGAGCGCAATCAGATGTGGGTTTGTTATGTTTATTATGCCTTGTCCATGTAGTGAGTCAGTGATCAATGTTTATAAAATTTAGTGTTTTGTTGATCAAACTATGAATATTGTCTGTGGGAAAGATTTTGCTCTGCTAAAATCAGTGTCTAAAACACTATAAAGATGATTTTGATTCATGAAAAATTTTGTATACAGAATTAAATTACAAAAAAATAAAATAAGAATAAGAATATACATGTTAGCATGATGAAATGGGTAATGCGAGAGATATCAAATGAATATCCAACGCTCATTTGAGACATTTGGTCATTCATTTGGTAGAAAATTTGGAATCTATAGTATTTTTCTTAAATTAATTACAAAAAAAAAAAAACCAACAAACTTTTCAAAGACAACTATTTTAATCAAACTAAAATAGTCAAATAGCTAACTATAACTTCCAAACAAGGCCCCTATCATAAATGTCACGTATGGCTATATTAGACCATCTCCAATAATTTATCAAATTTAAATTTGATGAAAAAGGTTACTCTTCCAACTGTTCATCAAATCTATCATCAAATTTAAGATTTCACTTTTCTTTCATTAAACTGAGGCCAGTTTGCCTTTATCAAATCACTGTTGCTGTTGGATTTTCACCATCTGATGTCTCCTAAATGTCCTCCGAATAACTATCTTAAGACAAAAATTTGTGAAAAATTTACATTATCCGATCGATCGGCAGGTTGTTCACCCAGTTGACCCCGTAATTTGATGAAGTTAAAAAACCTTTTATTGGAACATTTGATATCAAAAAGAGCCTTTATTTAATTTTTTACTCTAATTTAGGTCTCGTTTGGGAAGTAATAGTTTTAGCCTAAAAGTCAAAAAAACCTATAATTTGTACTAAAAAGTCAAAGATTCCATTTTTTCTCTACTTTTTGCATATTTTTTCATAAAAAATTAAAAAGTTATTCCAAATATATAAGTTTTGTTATCTCATATTTTAGCCAAAAAATTTAAAAATTACTAAGGTCTCGTTTGACGGCCTCACTTTTTAGCCTAAAAGTCAAAAAGTCATAAAAAAAATCAAAAAGCCAACAACTTATACAAAAAAAATCAAAGATTCTCTTTTCTCTCTACTTTTTGCACATCTTTTAGTAAAAAACAAAAAATCATCTCAAATACACTAGTTTTTTTTTTACATTATATTTTAGTTAAAAAGCAAAAAAATTACTAAAAAAGTATGTTCCCAAACAAAGCCTAAAATAGCCCATTCCAAATGAGGCCTTAATGAAAAAAATCGATACTGACGCCTCATTTGAGATACACATGTTTTAGTTTAAAAATCAAAAAATTATTAAAAAAAACAAAAAGCCTATAACATATACAAAAAAAAATTAAAGAGTTTATTTTTTCTCTATTTTTTATACATTTTTTTGTAAAAAATCAAAACATTATTCTAAACATACTAATTTTTTTATCTCATATTTTAACTAAAAAATTAAAGGGTGAATTACACCAACGGTCCCTATAGTTTGGGGTTTGTGTCACTTTGGTCCCTGACTTTTCAATTGTAACACATTTGACCCTGAATTTTGAATCTTGTTCCATATAAGGACAATTAAAGATACTATTAGATTTTTCAAGGGCAAATTCGTCAATTTGATAAAATATAAATTAATTTGACAAAAATAAATATCAAAAAATTATTTTGAATTTTTTAAAATTATTTCTACCTGCTAAAGATAAAATTATATAAATTGATAAATCTTTTAGACATTTATTTATTTTTACCAAATTAATTTTTATTATGTATTTGGATGATGATCATGTAAAATTAATCATGTAATTTTTATTAATTTTTTTTTTTATCAATTTTACATAATTTTATCTTTGGTAGGTAGAAAATTTTTAAAATATTTTTTTAACATTTATTTTTGTCAAATTAATTTATATTTTATCAAATTGACGATTTTATGTTTGAAATTAGCAATGGTATGTTCAATTATCTTTATTTGAAACAAGATTCAAAATTTAAGATTAAATATATCACAATTAAAAAGTTAGGAACTAAAGTGACACAAAATCCAAATTATAGAGACTATTAATGTAATTTATCCAAAATTAAAAAATTACTAAAATAATCGGTTCTCACCGGGCCTGAATATATCGGTAGTTCATTCGTCAGCTCTCTTCTATCCATAAACAGATATATTCCCAACCCTAGCCCAAACCCTAGCGCTCTCTGTCTCTCTCTCTCTCTCGCAGATGTCGCACTTCGGAAGATCTGGTCCTCCAGATATCAGAGACACCTACTCTCTCCTCGTCCTCAACATCACTTTCCGTAATTCCCCAGCCCCCAATTCCAAACCCTTTCTTGTTCTGATTTTTGTTTTTCGTAAATTTTTTATTCTTTTGTTTTTGCTGAATAGGAACCAGTGCAGATGATTTATTCCCCCTCTTCGAAAAATATGGAAAGGTCGTCGATGTCTTCATCCCCAGAGACCGAAGGTTTATATTTATATATCTTTTTCTCTAATTTATCTTTTGAATTTGTTTATGGGTTTATTGTAATTGGTCTAAGTATTTAGCTATTTATGCAATTCAATGATTTTAGGACCGGTGACTCGCGGGGATTTGCATTTGTTCGGTACAAGTATGCTGATGAAGCCCAGAAGGCTGTTGAGAAGCTCGATGGTATTTTCAAAACTTTTAATCTGATTTTCCAAACCATTTTTTTCTTAATAAGTAGGAGTGTTTTGTTTGTGTGTGCATATATATATATATATAGTGTTAATTACACTTTTCACCCATATAATTTGACCCAAATTTGTGTACACGTTTAAGTCTAGTTTCAATTTGGAATTTGGTCTTTCTGTCTAAATTTTTGTTAATTTTGTCCACGTGTACACTTTAGAAAATTGACAAATGTTTCAAAATTATTAATTTTAACCTCTAATTTAGACGGAAAAACCAAATTGAAGCCTTAGAAAATTGACAAGTGTTCCAAAAGTGTAAACTGAAATTTGGGTCAAACTAAGGGGTGACAAGTGTAATTAACCCGTGTATATATGTTTGGATAAGTGTGGAGATGTGATGTTTATATATTTGTGTTACTTTGGCAGGACGCGTTGTTGATGGTAGAGAGATAATGGTTCAATTTGCTAAGTATGGGCCGAATGCTGAACGAATGTGAGTTTCCTGTTGTGGTTAATGTTTTTTTTGTCATTTTACTTGTAAAGAAAGTTTCATTTGCTTACTAATTTCTAAGTCTTGGGTTGAGTTGCTATGCAAATGTTAGGTTTTGTTACTCCAGCGTTTAACCTTTTTGGAATGTAGAGCTAATTTATGTTTCAATCAATTTCGTGATGAATTTGTATTATACAGTATTGTTGAATTGTCATCTGTATTGTGTATGATTGCGTCACTTTTATGTATCGTGTATCACATACTATCATTTTGTATCTTATAGTGTATCGTAAGATACATTAACATAAATGAATATAGATATAGATAAATTATAAATATTTTCACATAATGTATAAATATATTGCAAGAATAATGTATTGAATCATATAATCAATGACATGAAAAGTTATCTCTGAGAAACTTACAAATTGGTCAGAGAGGTAAATCTACTTTCATTAAAAACTAGAGTACACTATAAGAATTTAGGAAGAAAATACCCAAGTATACTTGTAAGAAATTAGGAAGAAAATTAAAAAAATTAATAACAAAAGGTAAATGACATTTCAATGCAAATATAAACTAGGCAAAAGTAGGTTTTTTTTTTTTTTTTTTTTTTTTGGGCCTAGTTGATTTGATCTCTGGTTGATATGGTTTATGATTTGCAGCAAAAGGCATTTTTTAGGACTTGTTTGGATATGAGTAGTTTCAAACACACCTGTTATATGGTTTATTGTTATGGTCAAAACAATTATTTTGGTTCAAATTTTGGTCTAAAATTAAATACGAAAGTCTATGTGTAAGTTCGTTTCTGTCACCCAAGTTAGATCCATGAGAGAGTAGTTCAATTTCTTTTGTGAGCATATTTGGATTTGGTTTTGCTTATTATGGGATTTGTTTTAATATGATTCATGATTGTTCAATGAGTGTTAATCAGAGTGATTGATAATACAGGAAAGTTTGTTAACATGGCCAAATGTGAAAAATAAGATAAAAGTTAATTAATTGTGTGATACGAGTTGAATTGCGATATGATATGAATGAAATCATGCAATATAGAAACATATCTCACGATTCTAGTCACCAACGATACGAGTTTGCGATATGTATTTTTTTATGCAATATGATATGTGTCTCGTCTTGTTCGATTTTGACAACATTGGTATTGTTTATGTCTCCTCTATTAACTAAACTGCAATAGAAGAGTCCATGACTTATTTTACTCATAGAACTATGTTACTTACATTCTATTTATTTAGTGCCATATTTCTCTAGTTGTGTAATATGGAAAATTTTCTTCTTTCTTTTTTTCAGTAGGTAAGAGGGGGAGGGGGGAAGTTGCTGGGGTTCGAACCCCAAACTTGATGAAGGGGTTGCATGCGCCTCACCCACCGAGGCTCACCCTTTCTTCATTGTGGCAAAGTTTTTCTTCTAGTATCCTTTATTTCAACAATTTTGATGTTTTGACCAATTTGCTTGGTTTTTGTTTTCAGTCATAAAGGGAGGATAATAGAATCAGAATCAAAGTCAAGAGGCAGGTCAAGAAGCCGCAGTCCTAGGCCAAGGTATGCTCTCTCTTATTTATTTAAATTTTTTTTTTTTTGGGGATGGGATAAGATGCTCTTGGTATAGGAAATAAAGTGGGTTGTGCTCTTAAAAAAAATGTCTAATGTAGACATTTTACGTGGAAATTGATTATTCTTATTAGTATACCATAACCATATTTTGTTTAAAATGTAAGTTTCTATTATGTTTAAAATTGTGCAACATGTGGAGATTTTACCCCTTTTTTGTGGCAAGCTTATTTATATGATAATTATGATTAACATTATATATATACATATAAATTGAGGATTTAGGAATGGTAATTGGTGTTTTGCACCAACCCTTTTTTGACCCTTTCCCGGTTAAGAAGCCAAAAAACCAATTGTAAACCAAGCACTATATGTTTTTATTTTTTTATTTTTATTTGGCTTTTTTTAAGCCATACAATTGGCCTAAACGTCACGCATGTTAGGGCATCTCCAATTCCTTCATTGAATTCAAATTTGATGAAAAAGAGGAAAAAGTAAGCTCCAATCATTTCATCAAATGTGTATTAAATCAAGGGAGCAAACTTTTCATCAAATTGAGGATGTATCAAATCCTTCACAAAATTTGCAACAATTGTAATTTTAATGAAATGTAATGAAATTTCAAAGAACAAGGATTTGAGATGATTTTCTTTCATAAAAAATGGTCAAAAGTGGCTTTTGGATAGGTTGAATTTTAAAAAAAACAAAGAAAGATTTGATGACCAAAAGAGCAAGGATTGGAGTACTCCATACCAATTCAAGCTTTTAACTATATTTTTATTCAAATTTGATGAAAAAATTACTCATTTGGCTACCAGTTTTAAGCCAGCTTGTTTGGCATATTAGTTATATATTTTTTTGGTCGCTTTTTGGCTTGTTGGCTTGTTAATGGGTTTTTTTAGGTGATAATGTTTGGCAATCTTTCTAGCTTTTTGAATTTTTAATGCAAAATGACCTATGTACCATTGATAAGAATGCTTTCTGATGAAAGTCATTCTCTCAATTGTTATATGTAAAATGGTAAAAATGCCTATACCCCATGTGATGCTCAAATCGAGTACAAAAGTAAAAAAGTTAGGCTTATATTTTTGGCCAAATGAGACTGTCAAGTGACTCTTAGGCTTTTTATTTTTTGCCTACATCTTTTTAAGAAGAATTATTATTCTTTTAGAGTAGAAACATTTCCATGAGTTGCTTTCCGTATGTTTAATCTCTAGGTGCTCTTTTGGTCACTCGAGTTATTAATTTTCTTATGCATTATTTGTTAATCTTGTTTGCTGTTTGTGTTTTGTTGTTAGACTTTTCTTAATTGCTTATTCCCTTTAAAAGATAGATTCCTATGAAATATTATCCAATATGTATTTAATTGTGTGTCTTTTTATTTTGAAAACAATTTCAGGTATAGGGATGAGTACAGGGATCGGGATAACAGGAGGAGAAGTCGCAGCAGAAGTAGGGGTAGATATGACCGTGACCGGCACCGCGGAAGGGATAGAGATTATCGTCATCGAAGCAGAAGCCGCAGCGGAAGTCCTGATTATCACAAAGACCGTGGCAGAGGCAGATATGATGATGAGAGGCTCAGTCGAAGTCGGTCATATGGAAGGTATTATGCTCTCTCTCTCTCTCTATATATATATATATATATGCCTTTGTGACATGTTATCTGATGCAATATGCGTATTTTGAAGTGCCTCTCCTGCTCGTCGTAGCCCTAGTCCTCGGAGGAGCCCCTCTCCACGCAGGACACCACCATCTAGGGGTGGAAGTCCTGATGAGCGCAATCGCAAAGTACGCTCACCTACTCCAAAGAGTGTTTCACCACGTGGTAGAGCTGCTGATTCTCGAAGCCCATCTCCACGTTCTGATGCTGATGTGAGTAAACAACCTCCTTTCTAAGATTGATTGCATCTAGAAGTTTGTGGTCTAATTGGTTTTTGGGAATTTTGTTTTGTAGGAATGAGATAGTGATATGCTATGTGATGGATCTTTGGCCCGTATTTTGCTTCGTGTTCTGTGTTTAGCTGCAACTATTCTGGAGGAGGACATCTTCAGATTTTCAATGTTATAATCAATATAATGAGTGGTAGAATTGATTGCCCGAGGCAGACTTTTTAAGGTTGACTATTTTGTTGTTATGCTTGATGCATCCTTTAGTTTGATGGTATTGTTGCACTTTGATCTTTATAGCTTGGCTGCATTTAATATTGTTTGGTTCTTCTACCCCTTTTCTAAACCCTATTTAATTTCTTTTGCATGTTGGGTAATGTGAATTCAGATAACTGGATTATATTTACTTGTGATGGACCATGTACTGGCCTTCTATATTGTGTCCGGGAAGATTGAATGTAGCTGGCTGACTAGCTGATGATGTAGCAGCAGCTATTGGTTGATGCTGTTTTTACTGTGCGGTTGGTTGATATCATTTCTTGCTGGTTGCCAAGTACCGTGTTTTAACAAATTTACTCTGATGATGTATCATTGGTAAGGGTTAAAACTTTGAATGTTGTTGAAAGTCCCATTGGGATTCTGACTTTTGACGACCTGACCATCCTTATTTTTGCTGAATTTAAATTTTGGGTCTGGGAAGGAGTCTTAGTAGCTGTGGTGACAAGGGTCGGAGTTCACATCCCTTAACATGTAGCCGATGCAGTTAAACTGCAGGACCAGATCATAGCATAATGCTGATTCTAATATGAACCTGATATGCTGTGATGTCTAATATGAACGTGCTATGCTGGGATGGACATACCGTAGTGCTGATTCTAATAGAACCTGCTCTGCTGGGCTGGACAAATCTTAGATGAGGTTTGACATGATGATAGACTTAGTTGCTTATTATTTTTGTTATTTTTATTTTTTCTAGTGTTTGGTTAGACTCCACATTTACTATTTGGCCATTAGCTACTTACCTTTGTTGTAGCATGTGTCAATACATTTCGGATATGGTTTTAAGCTGATAACAGTTGCATATTGTTACAGCACTTGAGATCGTGACTTGTAGATGTGAAGTGATAGCCGATATCTTTGTAGATCGGTTGTTGCTGCACTTTTTGCTGATAGCTATTGAATCTGGTGTCACCATTTTTTATGTTGATGAGTGGTGCTTGGTTTGGTAGCTGTGCTCCGCTTCGTTGCCTTCCAGTACATGTCGCTGATGCTGAATTCTAAATTTTGGTATCCTAGCCCAATGCATTGTTCTGGAAGTTAACTTTTGCAGTGATATCCAATATTTGTCCATCCTGTCGGGAAGTGTGTTGTATGTTCCTTACACATGTTGATCATGCCATCTCAACTTATGCTTTAGCTGCATTATGTTGGAATCTAATTGCGCTTATCTGGGGATGGTTCATAGTTTTGGACTATTTTCTCTCATTAAATATTAAATTTATTGGTTTGCTTTTTATTGCAAATGCTGAAATGTTGATTTTTCTCTGGGTTTAGCCATTTACGGCTGCATTCATTGCTAGTTGACTCTTTAAGTCTCTGTGCTCTACTCTCCTTTCTCTTGACATGTAGTCACATGAAGTTCAAAGTACAATTGTATGCTGTTATTATTATTATTTTTTTCATTTGGGTAATACTTGTTACATAGGAAATCAAATCTGTTGTGGAAATCACATAATGATGTTTGTGCCTGTGAGAGGAGCTGAGATTAATGGAGGGAAATTTATGAACATAGCTCTAAAGACTACTATCAGTCAGTTGTCTGCATTTATCTTTTCATCTTTCAGTAGTCCTGTATTGTAAGATTAATTTCTTCATCCCCATATTAGTATACTCAGCATTGGTTGTTGTCTACTCAACTTTCTCGTTGCTCGATGAACCCAATCTCGTCTCCTCACAGAGCTAAGCCGGGGTCAAAAGCAAAGGCAACCGATGCATAATTTGAGGTGTTGAAACTGAATGGGTGGGATAAAGAGGTACAGTCCACCACTTTGCTTTCCACGGACTTTTTACCTGTTTGAAATCTGGAACCATCCCCCTTGAAGTTGGACATCTAAGGGCTCTCCTTGTGCTCCGTTTTTTCCTAGATGGTAATGCTATGGTGATTGAATTTGGGTACCAAATTTTGGATGCCATCTAAAGTGATGCCATCTAAAGTGTCACTGTGGTGCGATGGCACAAGACATGAAAGGTGAATGTCATTAAACCAATACATTGGTGACACGTGGGCGTGTAAATCTGTCCTGACCCGGCCCGGCCCAACTCATATTGGGTCTTGTGGGGTTTTGCCAAAATTCAGGTCGGGCTGGGCCGTGGGCCTATGGGCCAAAAAAATTAGGTCCATGCCCAGGGGTATTTGGGCCTTGGCTGGGCTTGGTTTTTTTTTTTTTTTTTTTAAAATTTTTTTTTCAAAATTTTATTGTTTTTCACTAAAAAAGATACTGAGCCTTAGGTGGGCCGGGTTTTGGGTGGGCCTTAAACGGGCCGATAGATTGGGCTTGTGGGCCGATGGATTGGGGGCTCATAGGTCGGGCTTCAAAATGATGGTTCGGGTCCAAGTCTAAGCCTTGGGCTCGGGCTTGGATCCAAAAGGGCCTAAATAGGCTGGGTCCACGGCAGGCCGCGAGCCATTTTTATACTTCTAGTGACACGTTAGATTGTTTACAAATTTGGTACCCAAATTTGGTCATGAACGATCATATATTAGACGATCTTTTCTTGCATCCATATATAATCTTGGGAAATGCTAGTCTTTACCATGCCCTACATGAACAATTTAACTAGAATGTTCTTGAAGTTGTAGGATTTTTGTCAAAACTTCATGATTTTCTGTTTCCAAAATCATATAATTGCTTTCAGATCTACAAGACAGATAGTTGGCTAACAATGAATGTCGGGCCGACTGGGCTAGGAAGTCCCCATGGTGAGATGCTTTCTTTCTGCATAAAGAAAGTTGAAGAAGAATCTGAGACGTTGCCTTGTTAGCAAAAGATAACTAGAGAACTACTAGTTTTAGATAGAATAGAACGATAAGGGGAAGATTGAGGCAAAGATCTACTTGGTGTGCATTTCACTTGCTAACTGACTCGAGTATGCAAATGTTTTCTTTATGATATCAGTGCATCACCGAGCACTTGCCCTAGTCATAACTGTTCCTTGTGGACTCTAGCAAGCTCCCGTTTAGAAGTCCATTTTGTATGCAGTGATGATATTTGGTCCAAAAAATGTTGGTGCAACTTTACGTTTGTTGGTCGAGCTAAAGGAAGAATTGTAGTCATTGGGTTGGATTCACACATGCACACGTTCTTTAGTGGGTTTTTGTTTTAGTTCTTGTTTTTTTTTGGATTCATGAGAGTGAAGAAGTTGTAAGAATCTCTGCTGCTTTATCCAAAGATAACTTGAAGAATGTATTGTCTTGTTTTTATTTTTGCTTTTAGACATGTAAAAGCTATTGTTTAGGCTCGCTCATCTCTTGGGGGAAATTGTTGAATCACATTGTACTTGTTTGATCACATGCTATATTAGCAGAAATCTAATTAATTGTTACCAGTTTGAATTTTGGCAACCCTTTCACTTATGGCATCTGTGTGTGCGCGCGTGCATGTCGAATGTAAAACACAAGCTAAAGTGGCTGAAGGTACCCTTGATGGGTGAGACATCAAAATGGACATGCAGTTTGTAGGAGCATCAATTTAGGTTAGTCCATTTACAAGTTACATAATTAGCTGTGTTCTAAAAATGAGATGACTCAAAATCCTAGACATTAAATTTTACTATGGAAATTTTAAATTTGCTTTTTTCATCTAATCACTGATTGGCTTAATTTCAACTTTAAAGGTTCAAAATATATCATATCTAATGCCTAAATAAATTTGAATCAACTTTTTATACAAATTCACACAATTTGAATTTGTTAATTTAAAATATTAGTTATTTATATACAAATTCACACAATTTGAATATGTATTTAAAATGTAAGTTACTTGTGAAATAACTATACAAAATATTTATTAATCTAACATGGGATGTAGATATACGTGAGATATTCTTGAGTCGTCAATTTAAATGTCAAATGGCAGTCTCAAATATAGAGCATGTTCGACACTTGGCTAAATTGAATCACAAAAATTACATGAAATGCACATGTGAGCATGGTATAGAACTCAAACTCACGTTTGGAAAACACAACAATGGTGATATTTGTGCAGTTTTAAATACTTTAATCAATCTTTTACTCATTTATTTTTTTCGGTATTTTACTTTTCAAATCTCATATAGTGCCCTACTCTCTCTCTCTCTCTCTCATTTCTTTTGAAATCTGCTCTTTGGGGATGAGGGTGGCACTTCTAAGTTCTAACCTTCTTCTCCTTTTTGTTTGTTCTCCGGCAGCTTCTCCATTACTTTGTTCATCACATTCTAGCCGTTATCTCTCCTCCCATCTTCATCATCAGATTGCCATTGAGAAAGCTTTCAGATATAAGTTTCGATTTCATTTATGATCGAGATGTGATGTTGCTAAATGCGTTTTTGTACGCTAAACGACCACTTTATATTCAAAATAATTTATTTTATAACGTAGAGGTAGGGATTACAATACAACTATTGGTTACGACGATGAATGAATCATAAAGGTATTTAGTGATAATTGTTTTGAGATATATTTTTTTTTTTGTCTCTCACCGTTGAGTGTCTCCTCTTTCGCGGAGGTTTTTTCTTTCGTATGTAAAAGTTTGTTATCTTCCTTGCGAGGCTCTCTTTATCCATTTGGAATCTGTCTTTTTACTTCGATACACTTTATTTGACAATTTATTATCGGAGGTATAATGCTTTAAGTCTCATGCTTTCCACTTTATAAAAAAAAAAATTAAAAAATCTCATATAGTGGATTATTGGATTAAAAAAAAAAAAAAAAACCTCATGTGTATTATTGAATAGAAAGTGAGAAAGTGTAGAGAGGTAGAAGTATAGGTCCACACGTTTTCTCGACTTGCTTGGCAACAAATTGAATTTGAGAAGTGATAGTTGTACATAATTAAAACATAAAAAATTTGGTTGAAATTTATCTTTAAGTGTATATGTGGATAATATTAAAAATAAATTAAAAAGTGTAATACGTGATAAATTTTTTTGTTAATTGTAGTACCATCTCATCACTATAAACTGATATGGGGTATAAATTTCACTATTTAGAAGTAATAATGAACTAACACAATTGAATAACTACCACATTTGTATAGTGAAGTAATTTTTAAGACCTTTTATGCTATTGAGAAATATCACTTTAACCTCTTAAATTATAAAAGCATATAAATAAATCCTCTAAATTATTGATGTTTTTTACTTTGACCCCTTAAACTATAAAAACATACAAATAAACCTTCTAAACTGTTGGCGTGTTTCATTTTGACCTTTTCCGTTAATGCACTGTGAGTTAAATCAAACTTTTGAGATTTTTTAGACAAAATCCATTATTATTGTTTTTAATATATATATATATATTTAAATATAAGCATTCATTCATTATTATTGTTTTATTATTTTTTAAAAATTCTTTGTAAATATATATTTTTACAAAAAGAATATTTTAAAAAAACAATAATAAAACAAAAAAACTCATAATATATATATATATATATATAAATTAGTTGGTTTGATGAATGCTTATCTTGAAGTTCATGCATCCCAAAAATTTCTTCCAAGATTATTCTCTGTGAATGCATTCTCAAATGAGTTCTTATGCAACAGTAGCAGTACATATTACCCAAAATTTGTGGTTGTCGACTACTAGATGTGATTTCCTTCTTATTTGAGCTTGTCTTATCTCTGGATGCTTATTTTTTAGTGTTTGATGAATTATGGAGAAAAAGAGGTTTAGGGAGAGTGACTAGAGGAAATCTGAGAGGAAGTGCTGTTGGACGTATTATATAGAGTGTTGAAGGGTATTTTCTTCTAAAAAATATCAAAAGTCTAGTTCAAATCACGGTGCAATAATAGAAGCAATTAAAGTGAAACACATAAATATTTTAGAGGATTTATTTATACTTTTTTATCTTTTAAGGAGTTAAAGTGATACTTTTTAATAATTTAAAATATTCATTTGTATATTTTTATAATTTAAAAGTGTTTAAAGAATATTTTTCTACAAGGTTTCATGTAAATTTGGTTATTAGCAATGGAATCATGGACCGATGCCCAAGTCTAGACGTTAAGGGGATGTTTGATGTCCAAGTCTAGACGTTAAGGCGATGTTTGTTATACCACATCAGTGATGAGATTGGACTGATAGAGAGAGAGAGAGAGAGAAATATGCAAACAAATGACTTATGGACTGAAAACCCTAACGTGTTGTTGGGGTAGGAGAATATTCAACCCGTGAATTATGTCTAGCACCTCAAATAATGTCATTCCATGCACCAATTAGTATTGTTAGGTTGTAAAAAAAAAAAAAAAAATTGCTGCCTCCCATAGGAGTCTGAGCCTCAG